GTGCTTGCCCCTTTGTGCCTCAGCTTCCAACCCCAGGCAACCCACCGCGTTCTGTCCGTCTTCTTCAAGCCATTCTTGAAGAGCCACTCAGTGTTACTCGGAAGTGGTCACAGACCCAGGCCTGAATTCACGTCCCAACGTGGCTTGTCCCACACTTCAGCACGCCTTCCAGGTCCTCCTGGGTCTCCCTGGAGGGTCCCTCACCACTGTGGCTTCTTCTTGGTCCTCCGCAGTCCCTGGCCTCATGGATCTCTGACTTTCCCCTTTGTCTTATTCTTCACCTGGTCTTGGTTTCTCCCCCTGCCTGCCTTGCCTCCAGCTACATCACCATTCTCCTTTCCATTCTTGCCTGCCCTCCCGTGGGCACCCCTGAAACTGACCCAGCATCATGAGAGCATGTCTGTACCCCCTCTGCCAAGACACCCTCTCAGGCCCTCCCCAGCTGGCTTCTGTAGTTTTGATCCATGAACATGATCACAGGGCTGGTCTTCCCAGCACATCAACGGATCTGCCTCCCTCTGAGCCCATGACTCGGCAGGTGTCTGTTAACTTGCTAAGGGACTGCACAGAGCGACAACAGTGCTGGCTGAGGGCATGACTGGCATGTAATGTGCCACAGGAAGAGGGTGGCACTATCTCCCCAGCTCAGCTGTGGGCGTTCCTGGAAGAAACAAACCACACATGGTGTTCAGCCAGGTCCTCACCCAGGCAAGGGACCTCCTCTCAAAGTGTCGCAGACGCCACACTGCACCCGGTCGCCCTCCCCCTTTCTGTGGACTGTACCTGATGTATTTGCTATCAAATCCTTGCTCCCCCAGTGTCACTGCCTGAGTCCAGCTGCTCTCCCAGCCTCTCCCAGAGGGGTGTTCTAGATCCTTCTCATTCCCCTGGAGATGCCGCAGCCTGCAGCCAAGCATCGCATCACGGAGATGGGGCCCACCCCTTCGCATCTCTGCTGATGGTCAGCTGTCCACGCCGAGCTTGTTACTGGACCATTGACCTGCCTGTGGGTATCGAGTGTATCCCCTCCCACCCACCCCCAAGTGTTGAATTCAAGAAAAAACTCTCAAAATTGTGGGGAGCAACTGGGAGCAACTCGGACTAGACTAAGTTACTGGAATTAAGACTTATTCTATGCATCTGCTCTCCCCACAATATGGCGCTGGGAGAGGAGGAAACAGCTTCTACTCAGCTGCCTCCAGTTCAACCAATGAACAGCAGGACCTGCTCCTGATTGGAGGAGGGCAGCGTACTCGGCGTGTGGGTAGCAGAGTTGGGATTGGTGGAAGAGGACTATAAAGGAGGAGAGACAACATGCATGGGGAACATCTATCTGAAGGAACACCTGTGCAGCCCCCGAGAGAGCCGGCCGGCGGTGTGCCACTCCCCTGCGGAAGTGGGGAAAGTGGCAGGGGGAACCGCCCTTCCACGGAGGTGGAAGGGACGGTAGCCAGCCCGGGAAGAACCAGCAGCAAACCCGGGGAGGGCCGAGCAGACGAAAGAACAGCACAGGGTTCAGTGTCGCTCCTCCACGAAGACGGGGAGCGACAAAAATGGAAGGAACATTCTAGTATCAAAAAGTAGGAGACCTTGGAAAAGAGTTCACTGAATGAGCAAAGGACCCAAAAAGAGCAAAGCAGAATGGATGATTTGGGGATACTTTTGGGCAGGGGAGCCTTGGGCTCTCTTATGTGTTCCACCATGACAGCCCTCCTCTGGCTCGGAGGAGAGGTCCAGCGAGAGATGTGGCCCAGAGGATTTTCGTGTTTTGGAAGAGCCGGGTTGTGCAGTGTGTGTGTGCCTGTGTGGGTGGCAGCCCCGAGGCCTCGCGGTGTGAGAGGCAGAGACCAGGCTTGTGCCCCTCTGGGTGTCTCCACAGCAACCCCAGCAGACCACACTCGGGAGCGGGTTGTGGGCAGGGAAGATCCCCTTGCAGCCTGGGTCTCAGCCCTGGAGAAGCAGCCCAGCCAGGGAGAGCCCCGCAGTCAGACGGCAGAGCTCCCGGAGCCTCCTGGCTTTCAAGAAGCCCCTGCACCTGGGCCTTGTCCTTGGCACACAGGCGACTTCGACTCGCTCCTCCTCCTGTCACCTCCATCATCCCCAAGTTCATCGTCCTCCTCCGCCGGCCCAGATCTCTTTAAGAGGCGCTGCAAGCGCAGCACTTTGATTTTGCGGTCGTTTGGGGCGCTTCCTCGGGCCCATTTATCTTTATCGCAGGCTGAGCAAAGAGTCTGAACAGGTGATTACGGCTTCTTTTCTTTCTTGCGGGGCTGCAAATCAGTGGCTTCCCGTACAGCTGGGAGAGGCGCAGACAGCTTGTGTGGGACTCACACAGTGTTGGCTGTGCTGTGAGTTTATAACAGCCTTGTTTCCACACTGGCAGCAAACGCCATATGGAGAGAGAAGAATGCTGTTGGAGGAACTCGGAAGGAATCACAACGTGGCACACGAGATCTGATCATTGCTGTTGAAAGGGGGGGGGGGTTGCCTTGCTCGAGTCAAATAGGAGCTCGGTGCTCGCTCCCACATCCGAATAAAACTGGACTTGGAGGCAGAGGCATTTACTTTGGGTCTGGGTTTGTGCCGGGGGACTCGGCTGATTAGGAAAGGGTGTGAAGGTTTGTTTTCTGCCCCCTGAGGGACCAGGTGGAGCAGGAGGTGGTGAGAAGACAAGCTGTAGCTGCACTGTGCTAACAGGTGCAGGCCGCAGACCCGGAGCAGGCAACGGAGACCAGGTTCCCTGCTGTGGCTGACAATAACACTCATCAAAGTTGACATTTTATAACTGTCACTTGGGATCTTGTCTGCTCTCCCACACACCCCCCTGCTGCCCCTTCCAACAGAGTAGCCCACCTCCCCTCCCGCCCAGAAGTGGCGGAGGCTAATGCTTGTTGGAGCGGCCATCCATGAGCCATCTGGGCCTGCGGTGGCCAAGCCTGCACCCACAGTTGAAGGGCGGAGTGAAGGCAGCAGTCCAAGGCCATTCTGAGCCACCAAACCCCTCTGGGAGGGGACGAGGAGGGAGACGTGGCAGGTGGCTCATTCTGTTGGTTAAAGTACCTGCTGGAGAGAAGGCGGCACCTTTGAGCACTTTCATCCGCATGTGATACTTAGAACCGGGGAATTCCTGCAAAAATATCCCCTACCCCCGGTTCACGTGCATGGAGCAGTAGGCAGTAAAACTCCCCGGCCCGCCTGCCCAGCCACTGCCCCTTCGATTCCAAGAGCCAGAGGCCCCACCCCCACTGGCCTGAGCCCTGTGCTTGGCAGGTGGGCAGACGTCCAGGCACAGGCTGGCCTCTGGCAGGGGTGCCCTGCAGGCCCCTCCCTGCCCCCCTCAGCTCTGCTTCCCCCCTTGCCGGCTTCGCGCTCTGTGGGCTCATGCTGTGTGGAGGAAACATGGCCCCTGTGGCTTTGGCTGACCAGTCCCAAGGCCTTGGCATCCTGGAGATGAGCAGGAAGTTTTCCAGGAAGTTCTGGCAGAGGCCCTCGGAGGACTCCAGGGCCCACTCCACCATGTGCCCCGACCTGAATGGCCCATTCAGTCATGAGCCGTCAGCGCCCCTAGAGCCAAAGGCAGGCCTAGGCTGGATTTGTGCAGACTCAGAGAGAGCCGGAAGGGAGATGGAACAGACCCCAGACCCTACATCCATGCTGACAGTGGTGGTGGTTCTAAGCAGGCTCTGGTCTGAGTACCTTCTATGAATTGTCTTGTTCAGTCCTCATGGTGGTCCTGGGAAGCAGGTGCTGTCATTGTACCCAGGTTACAGATGAGGAAGCCAAGGGGTAAAAATGCCCCAGATCACAAGACCACAGTGAGCGGTGGAGCCGGGATCTGAACCCTGGCAGTGTAGCTCCAGGAGCCACACTCACTGCTACGAGGTCTCCCACTGTGCGTCGGGGGTTGGCCTTCCATAGACAAAGGCTCTGGGGACCCACGACTGAGCACAAGCTGGCGTAAGAGAGGTGCTCAGTCCCCTTGCTGCACTCTGTCTCCAGAGAGACCCTGTGTGGATGGCTAGCACCTCCACACTCAGCCAGGAGACGGCCGTCATTCCTTCCAGCCCAGCCTCCCTTCCGCCAGAGTGCCACCATCCTCTTCCCAGCCCCCCTCATCCCCAGCCCAGCTCCAGATCCAGAGCTGAAAACCAAGGCCCAGAGAGTGCAAGTGAGTTGCTTGAAGTAACACAGCAAGTCACTGGCTCAGCACCGGGTCCCTGGGCCTGGAGTTGGTCCCCGCACTTAGGGTTCTGCAATGTCCTCCTCAGAGCCCTCCTGGCTGCTGAGTGGCTGAGTGCAGCTCACTTCCTGTCTCTGTTCCTGTAGCTCCTTGGCTGGGAAGTGCAAGGCTTTCATAATCTGAAGCATCCTAAGACCGGGCTTTGCTCCAGTTTAAGAAAAAAAAATCATAGCCACTAGGATGCTCTGAATTAGAAGTAACTTTAAGATGTTTTCCAACTCCCTGAACAAAGAGATGTGTTACCTCTCATAAAGCAGCTTTTCAGATGTGGTTTGGGCTGTGGGCGTGGTGAGATCCAGAGACACGTGACGTCAGCAGGCTTTCCCGGCTCTGGTCTCCTCTGTGCCAGCCCTGTCCTCACAGCCACTCTGATGCAGTGAGGCAAACTCTCTGCCACACCACAGCCTCCAAACCAAAAGCCCACGTGTGTGGGTCACGCTGACGGGACTGGTTTAGGTGACCTGCCTGCCAGCTGTGCCCAGTCACCATAGTCAGAGAATACCATGTGCTGATTGGCCAGCCAGGAGCAGAAACACAGTCCCCAGAACTGCTGGCCTCTCCAAGCACATACTGGAGGCTGGCACCTCCCTGCACAATGACCTTGGCCTGGCAGATGCATGGGGTCCCGAGAGCTTGCTGGTCACCTGGCTGCATCCGTGCGGGGCCTGGGCCTGGGTCTGGGTCTGGGTCTGGGTCTGGGTTGCTGGACGGCCCGGCTGGCCCTCCCTGGGCCTCACCACACTCTCCTTTCTTCCTCCAGACAGAGACTACTGCAGTTTATGTGACAAGCAGCCAATCGGGAGGCTGCTTTTCCGGCAGTTCTGTGAGACCAGGCCCGGGCTGGAGGGTTACATCCAGTTCCTGGACGAGGTGGTAAGTCCCTGCTCCCAGGGCGCGGGGTGGGGGGTGGGGGGAGCTTTGATGCTCTGCGATGAGCCCCCATTTTTGACTGAGGCGGGTGAAGATTAAACCTGTGGCTTATGGAGCTCCTGGACTTTAAGAGGACAAAAGCTGTCTCGGGATCTAAACCTAAGCTGGTTCTCCTCCCGCCCTGGACCTTGTTGCTGCTGCTATAAAGAGGCGCCGTCAGCTGTGTGATGCCAGGAGCCTGGGTCACCGTGGGAGGCCTTGCCTGGGGATGTTGCACGTTGTCTTCCTGATGCATTAGGTGGCTCTTACAGCCTGTGCCCCATCCCCAGATGAAAACACTCCTTCGTTAAAGATTTATTCATTTATTTGAAAGCCAGGCATACAAAGAGAGAAGGCGAGAGAGAGACATCTTCTATCCTCTGGTTCACTCCCCAAATGGCCGCAGTGGCCGGGGCTGGGCCAAGCTGAAGCCAGGAGCTTCTTCCAGGTCTCCCACGTGGATGCAGGTACCCAAGCACTTGGGCCATCTTCTGCTGCTTTCCCAGGCCATTAGTAGGAAGCTGAATCAGAAGAGGAGCAGCTAGGACTTGAACTGGCACTCATTTGTGACGCTGGCACTGCAGGCTGAGGCTTACCTTACTATGCCACAGTGCTGGCCCCCGAGAACCCACTTTACAGAGTTGTGAAGTTTGACTGCGTCAGCTTGTTTCCTGAGTGCTTCCCATTCGAGTGCCAGCTCCCTGAGGGCAGGCCTGGGCTCCCATTGCCCCTGCTCAGCACAGTGCTCTGCACACACCGTCAGCCAGCGAGTGCCCACAGGATGAATGTGTGCCGGCCATTTCTAGGCAGTCTGACAGCTGTGACTCTGCAGGTTGCTGGCTCAGTGATCCTGCTTGATGTTCTGGGGTCTTCTTCACCTTGCCAGTCACTCATCTGTTGAACAAAGGCTGGTGGCTTTGCGTGGGCTCTGAGGACGGGATGGAGGATTGTCCAGGAGTCCCTCAACACTCGTCTGGAAGGCAGGGTGGGCACCAGGGCTGGCCACCTGCCCCTTGTGTTTCGTTTCGTTTTGTTTCGTTTCGTTTCGTTTCTTTTCTTTTCTTTTCTTCTCTTTCTTTCCTTCTTTCCTTCTTTCTTTCTTTCTTTCTTTCTTTCATGACTTATTTATCTATTTGAAAGTCAGAGCTGCACAGAGAGAGAATGAGAGGAAGAGAAAGAGAGAGAGAGAGGTCTTCCATACGATGGTTCACTCCCCAGTTGGCTGCAACAGCTGGAGCTGCACCGATCCAAAGCCAGGAGCCAAGAACTTCTTCCAGGTCTCCCATGTGGATGCAAGAGCCCAAGGACTAGAGCCATCTTCCACTGCTTTTCCAGGCCACAGCAGAGAGCTGGATCAGAAGTGGAGCCGCCAGGACTCGAACCGGCACCCATATGGGATGCCAGCACCTCAGGCAACAGCTTTACCCATTATACCACAGCGCCAGCCCCACCCCTCGCGTTTCTATCTGAGGAGGGAGAGAGAGGGTGGGAGGGCAAGAGGTGAGGTGAGCAGTGGGGCTGCCCAGGCCTCCTCCCAGTGGCCAGGACCAAGATACTGACATCTCTACAGGCCCTCACACTGTCTGGGTTTGGGGCTCAAGTTCCTGTGGCTGCCTCAGGATCCCTAGAGCCACAAGCCAGCCTGCCCCCTGGACACCTCCACCAAAGCCACACAGGCCCCCTCAAGGTCACCACATCCAATTAGCACCTTCTCCCAGGCCTTGGAGCTACTGGCCCTGATTCACCCCCACACAAGCCTGGCATCTGGGCACTGCCCCTCCAACCTGGTCAGGGCCCATGTGCACGAAGCCCCATGACCTCTCCCAGACTAGTTCCCCCCCACAAACTCTGCCTGGGTCTTCAACACAGGTGCGGTGCGGAGTCTCTCGTCCCAGGGGCTGATCGTTCTCAACCTTGGCTGAGCATTGGCAACGCTTTGGGAGCCTTTAAAACCGCTAGTGCCGGCTGGCACCGTGGCTCACTAGGCTAATCCTTCGCCTTGCGGTGCCGGCACACCGGGTTCTAGTCCCGGTCGGGGCGCCGGATTCTGTCCCTATTGCCCCTCTTCCAGGCCAGCTCTCTGCTGTGGCCAGGGAGTGCAGTGGAGGATGGCCCAAGTGCTTGGGCCCTGCACCCCATGGGAGACCAGGGTAAGTACCTGGCTCCTGCCATCGGATCAGCGTGGTGCGCTGGCTGCAGCAGCCATTGGAGGGTGAACCAACGGCAAAAGGAAGACCTTTCTCTCTGTCTCTCTCTCTCACTGTCCACTCTGCCTGTCAAAAAAATAATTAATTAATTAATTAAAAAAAAAAGAAACGCTAGTACTGAAGCCCAGACTGAGGGGTTTGTGTCTGCGGGGTGGGGGGTGCGGTGCCTGCTGTTTTTATGACTTTTTATTATGGGAAGTTTTGCACCATGAAAAGCAGAAGTCAGCAGAATGGTTTAATGAACCCCATGCAGCCTTATCCCACTTCAGCAACAAAGAACTTGTGGCCAGTCTTGGTTCATCCGTACCCCTATCCTCACCTCTGTAGCATTTGTGACAAATCTAAGATATCATATAATTTCATCTATGAATCTTGCATATGTGTCTCTAAAAAAAAAAGGCTCTTATAATACCACATGGGGCTGGCTCTGTGGCAGAGCAGGTAAAGCTGCCTCCTGCAGCTCTGGCATCCCACGTGGGTGCCAGGTCAAGTCCCAGCTGCTCCACTTCCGATCCAGCTCCCTGTTAATGTGCCTGGGGAAGCAGTGGAAGGTGGCTCAAGTGCTTGGGCCCCTGCACTCACATGGGAGTTGTGGAAGAAGCTCCTGGATCCTGGCTTCAGCCTGGGCCAGCCCTGGCCATGGCAGCCATTTGGGGAGTGAACCAGCAGATGGAAGAATTCTTTTCTCTCTCTGTGACTCTTTCAAATAAATAAATGTATCTTTGTAAAAAAAAAAAATTAACCTAATACTAGCAATACTATTATCATAGCTAAACATTTTTCTTTGGGCTGGCACTGTGGCATAATAGGGTAAGCCCACCTGTGGTGCCGGCATCCCATATGGGCACAGACAGAGTCCTGACTGCTCCACTTCTGATCTAACTCCCTGGTAACAGCCTGGAAAAGCAGTGGGAAATGGCCCAAATGCTTGGAGCCCTGCATCCACGTGGGAGATCCAGAAGAAGTTCCTGGCTCCTGACTTGGAATCACCCCAGCTCTGCCAATGTGGCCATTTGGAGAGTGAACCAGTAGATGGAAGACCTCTCTCTGTCTGTAACTCTGCCTCTCAAATAAAAAATAAATAATTTAAAAAAAAATTACTTTCAATTATCAACTATTAGGCAGCATTCCAATTTCAAATTTTCTCAACATTTTATAGACACTTAAACTTTTTAATTTAAGAGACAGAGGCAGAGAGAACGTTGCCACCCACTGATTCACTCCCCAGAGGCCTACAACAGCTGTGCCTGCACCAGGCGGAAGCAGGAGGCTAGGAACTCAATCTCGCCTCCCACGTGGGTGGCAGGACCTAGTTACCTATATTGCCTGCTGTCTCATAGGATCCGCGTTAACAGGAGACTGGAACAGCAGCCAGAGCCAGGAGCTGAACCAGGCGGTCCATGTGGGATGCAGACGTCTTAGCCAGTAAACCAGATACCGGCTCCCCTCATCTCCCCTCATGCACTTTGTACATGTGTGTCTAAGCAGTTTGAATTGGTCTGGATAAGGGGCACGCACTATGATAGGTTGGTCTCCTTGACTCTCTGCTGCCCCATAACCACCTCCCCCTGTGGTGGATTTGTTGTCCTCCACCAGGGTTTCCCACAGTCTCATTTTCCATTGTCACCCCCAAGCCATTTCTCAGGTTTCTCTACTCCGTGTCAGTTGCTGGTTGGATCTGAAAACTTGATCACATTCAGTCTCCCTCGCTGGGAGCTGGAGAGTAGGAGTGACTTCCTAAGGGTTCTGTGTCCTGTGGCTGGATGGGGCAGCTATCTGGATTTTTTTTTAAAGATTTAATGATTCAAAAGGCAGAGAGAGAGAGAGACAGAGAGATCTTCCATCTGCTGGTTCACTTCCCAAATGACCACAGCAGCCAGGGCAGTCCAGGCAAAGCCAGGAACCTGGAGCAATATCTGGGTCTCCCACATGGGTAGCAGGGGCCCAAGCACTTGGGCTCAGCCGCTCAGTGCTTTGACAGGTAGAGCAACAGGAACTTGAAGCAGCGCTCATATGGGATGCTGGTCCATCACGCCGCAACACTGGCCCCTGGGTCTTCCTCTCTGAGGTGGCAGCAGCACTTGATATGCAGAACCCAGATCTGTTGACTAACATGGGGTGTGAGCTGGAGCCAGTTAACCCATGGTTCCTTCTTGGATTGCTGGGGCTGACCCAGGCAAAGCCAGGAGCCAGGAACCTAATCCAGGTCTCCCATATGGGTGTTAGAGACCCAACTACTTGAAGCATCACCTTCCACCTCCAAGAAGCTGGAATCATGTGTACAGTGGGAACTCGAACCCAGGCACTGTGCTCTGGGACACACGTGTCTTAACCACCAAGCCAGACGCCTGCCTCCTGGGGTGTTGTGTGGAAGGCAGCATTCATGGTGTTTCTCAATGGACTGAGGGTAAGAGGAGAGTTAGCGATGGCTGTTACGCTGTGGCCTGGGCAGCTGGAAGGTGGTAGGGAGGACAAGGCTGTGGTTAGGTCCAGGAGGGGCAAGGTCAGGGGCTGCACCATAGACTCACACAGGTTGCCATGTCCGTAGGCCCCCCAGTGCACCTGTTCCAAGGGAGATGGTATTTGATTGAGTGGAGTCCCAGACAGGGCTGGGCTAGGAGAGCCCTGGGGTTTGTCAGCAGGCACTGGCGTTGGATGAGCTCAGCACACAGGTGACTGCGGATGGAGAGATGGAGAGGAGCCATGAGGACCAACGGTGGAGCCCTGCAACAGGGGCTACTGCCCCTTTGGAAAAGA